GTGACAGTGACAGTGACGGCAACGCCAGCCACGACAGACGCAGGTGATGGCAATATGTACAGACACATCTGTACATATTTACTGTACTGTTTGAGAACAGTAAGTGACATGGTTTTTCTTAAATGGTCATCATGGGAGCAGTGCCCAAAATAAGTTTTTTTCAAATTTTGATGCAATATTACATAATGTTAAACAGCTTAATGACCATCAATTTTTAATAATAAAATATTAGTATCATGGATATTCAGAAAATGTGACTAGCAAAGGTCTTCAGGCCCATGGAACTTCAAAGTCACAACTTGAAAATGCCAAAATGTAAACAAGACAGCACTGTTCTGAAATGTTTTTTTTCCATTTTTAACAATTTTTTTAACATAAACAAAATTAACAGGTTACTGCCATTTTTATACGATCAACTAAGAAAATTGATGAGATGGGAAAAATATCAATACAACAGTGTTAAATGTCCAATTTCCTCCATCCTGAGATTCTGAACATAGTGAATGATTGCATCTGACAAACTGCAATGATATGAGTTTATTTCCATTTTTGACACTTTATTACACAATACACGATAACAAGTTTACCATCATTTTTACATAATCAACTAACAATTTTGTAAAGATTCAGGAAATGTCAAACAAACACTTTTATGTATCTTATTAGTAAAATAATAAGACTGTTAACATGCCTAAGAATTGAATCTGAGGAAATGTGAAAAAACAGCATAACTTCTAAAGTAATGGCCCGATCATGCCGATTTTCGAACTTGACCTGCGTTTTAGTAAGATTGATTACTCCTGTGAGTTTCATGACAACAGGCCTAACGGTGTTCCTTAAAATGTGTTTACAGGGTTGCATATATGCTGAAAAGTGAAAAAACAGCATAAGTTCTTCAATAATGGCCCGATCATGCTGATTTTCGAACTTGACCTGCGTTTTATGAATATTCATCAGCTCTGTAAATATAAAGCCAAAAAGTAAAACTGTCCTCCACTTATCGTGTTTACAAGGAAAGTGCACGGCATCGGCGACGGCATCTGCATCGGCATCGGCGACGGCATCGGCGACGACAGACGCAGGTGATGGCAATATGTACAGACACATCTGTGTCTGTACATAATAATAATAATAATAACACATTGAGACCCAGTCCTCCCACCTTCTCTCTGTGTAGTAGTACTGGTCTTTCCTGAAACATAATAATAATAATTGACTCCTCCTTCACACTAAGCCCATAATGTAAATTGCATGTGTTCATATTTTTATTTTACATATTTATTTTTATATTGCAATGAAAAAAGCATTTTGAAGAAAAGATCAGTAAAAGGGAAATGAAGAAATTACCATGTCATAATACACTTATCAGGAGATTAAGTCTTTCAGATAGATTTCATGGATTTTTTTCAAATAAACAAGCTAGGTAATCCATATCAGTTTGACCTCAGCCATAAGATTCCATTAACTAAGACATGCTGAGTCTAAGTTTGATTGATTGCAGTTATAATTCAGATAAATGTATTAAACACAGTGGAGTGAGTACAACAGTCTGGAAGCTTGCTTTTCTTGTAACGGCCACTCAGTTAATTACATTAATGTTTTTAAATGACATCTTGTTATAGACTAACGCCTCGGGTACCAAACCATACACACACGAGAGAGGGTCAGATGGCGCAGCGTTTCTGTATACCTCCCAGGGGGCGCCGTAATCAATGACGGAGATCTCTGGAGGAGGTTAATGAGACCCTGGGGGCGTTTACACACAGCGCCATCTATAGGAGAACTCATTAGTTCATTCAGACCTGGCCAAGTACAGACTAGAAACTAAACCAATTACTAGTACAGGTAGAACTTAAAATGCTTTTTTTGGGGTGAAACTTTACATATTATGGTGCTTGTCCTCTGAATATCCATTTCAAATACATGCTTGGTTTTATAAGGCTTTATAAGGTCTGTTAATCTATTAAAGCAAGTAGGCCTCATTTTCCAGTCCAAAAGGAATTTTGTCTGAATGCTCCACTTGGAGTGGTAGAATGGAGTGTGGTAAGTCCTCTAAGTTCACAATCGATACAGACAGCCCCTGTGGGGGGCTGAAATAGCCAAGTCAATTACAGTCTCTGTGATGATTGAATTAAGACGCCCTGGTAATTCTATTTGAATCTCCAAACATATGGTGTCCCCCCTCCCGCGGGCCTTGTGTGGTCAACTGCGCCTCTACTGTGTGTTTCATACTATACACAGAATTTATGGTATCCTTTCTCTGGGGATTTAGGTGGTCAACTGAGCCCCTGCTGCCTGTATGATACTATACACAAAGTTTGCAACACACAGAAGCTAGACAACTGTTGATGATGAAAATTGAGAAGGATCATTTTTGCAAAATTCCAGATAAAGGAAATTATTCAGTAAAATATATGGTCTTGACAGAAATGCTTTATCATATTAAAAACAATATATGAAGTGATCTTTAATTGCAACAGACTGATGTTACTTTTTAAGTTATTATGATACTGGTGCAATATATGGCACACTCATATGTAAACTCAAAGTAAAATGGCAGCCAGTTTCATGAAGCTTTTTAAAATTAGTTAGAATTATAATCTTGCCAACTAGAAGACTTTAAGATTTTTGAATGCTGTTTCAAAAAACTATCATTACTAGTAACCTAGTTCGATCTATAGTAAAACTAAGTTGTTTAGTAAAAGTAAATGGCTAGTTCTTTAGTTACTTACGGTACTTTCAAAACAGTCTACCAGAAGTGACACTGTTGTGTAAACAGTGTCATTAATGGGCTAACTCTCTAAAGTTTGGAGGCTTGAACCACACAGCATGGATGACAAGAATGGCAACTGTCACATTGTATACAAAGACACATGATATAAAATGAGAACTAACAAACCTTTCCATTTCACTTATTATGCATGTGTACAATAAAACTCTACAGTTTGCAAGTGCTCTGACCCACTTGTTAAATATCCATGATAACAACAAGACAAATATGAATGAGAGAAATAGCAATAGTTATATGAAAGGACACTCATGATCATAACAAATGAGAGGCTAATGAGCCATCGCTAACAAACGAGAACCTTGTGAATTGGGTCTCAGAGTACTCCTAGAATATCTGTTGCTCCAATATGTGTTTTTGTAACAGACAGACTCTCTTGTGGTTTAAGATATATTTATTGGTAGAACTAAAATTTTCACCCCTGATGTTATTCAAGGGTGTTTTAGAAAGAATGCTGGTTACACCAATAGGTGGCTTGGTCTGAAAACACATACAGACAGACGAACAGCAACTCCAGCACTGTTTGAAAATCCGGCGCCAATGCCTTTTATAACGAGATGTCACATGACAAAGACCCAGTAAGACAGAACAAAGGAACATAGACAAAACACCAATTAGGGGGCGTCAGAATCACAGCAAGTCACAAGACAAGACAACTCAAGACGAGTGCATATTTATACATAGTTACATTTTATTGAAACAGTATTGAGCAAACACACAGAGAAATATCAGTCCAGCATAAGACATGACACACACATGTACATACAATGGAGGTATCTGGTGGGGCAATTGTGAATTTTCAGAACCTCTTAGTAAAGAATAATTCTGTTTTACTGTCATATCTGGAGACCATGAAAACCACAATACACCTTGCCATATGGCAGTCTGAATAATTTTCAAAGTTCTGGCTACAAAGTACTATCTGACAAAACCCTTTAACAGACCTCATAAAACTATTTGACCAAATAAGTTTTTAACTTACAAAATATCTGGTATCTTTTCTAGGGTCATTTCCTATGAAAATCAAAGTTTGTGAACCAAGTTTTCACTTACCCCTAGAAAAGCCTTGTGTCCATGCTCCGTACTGGTGTAAATGATTTCTTCCTTCTGTATCTGAAGAGTGTCATGTGACAGAAGCAGACGACGTGGCTCTTGACTTCCCTTTCCATTGGACACCAGAACCATCCCCTGCTTGACCTGCAAGAGATACACAGACAGACTGGGAAACATTCTTAAACACTTGTGGCAAGCATTTATTAATAACAGATAATTAGATCTTTTACACTAAAGAAAAATAACTGAAAACTGGGGTAGTGCTGCCAATTTTTTCTCTTAGCCTGAATCATCACTTTTTTATCACTTTTTTCTCCAAATTGTTTAAATTTGACTAAAACAAGTCAAATCAATCACTTTTTGTTTAGCCAACTCAGTTTTAGCATTTGGCTAAATTGGCAAATGTTAGCACTATCCCAGGAAAAGACTCTGGTAGACTGGAGAGAAATGATACAAAACTATTTGTTTTGTGATTTGTAATAACGACCTAATACCTGAAACCAAGCAAATAGGAGATATAAAGAACAAGATAAGCATGACATAGTTTTACATGACACACATTCACACAAACAAGCGTTCATACCTCATGAATTTTATATGGTTTGAAACATAAGCTGCTATCATTTTGCTTGTGCTATATATCTATATATACCTTCAAACCCTATGGCAATATTAACTTATAACATCATTTCTTTATGTTACTGCACAATATCTCCCACTGCTCTAATAATCACCCAATTATTGCAACTTCACAATGTAGAATTTTTGTCTAATTTGAATCAGTGCTCAGTTAATCTGCCCCTCCGCTCTTATTAACTGTAGTGATAGCAGTCTAATATGTGGACAGACTGCAGCCAACATGTCAACGTCAACTGAAACAGTTGTCTTCTACTGATTAAAAGATATACTAGTAGTCAGAGAGCACCTGCAGTGACAGCTAGCACAGAACTATCAAATCATTTTGCAAATAACACATCATAAACTGCTTAGTTTATATGTTGTTATTTCTGACAACAATTTCCCATGAGGAACAGGTGACACTGGCGAATTCTGGCTGATAATTTTCAAGAATTTGTGAGAGGATTTCACAAGCTACATGCAGTTTTCAGTGGTACTTAACTTTCTGAGTTTTCTTGAGGGTCAAATCCTTATTGGACCAAAGATGTTTTATGAGCTTAGTTTATCATATCAAAAATAGGTTCCCTAAGTACTACACTGTATACATTCCTCTATAAATCTCCCAACATAGGAGTATGCATGCACGCACACACACATGTACACGTATACACACTCATGCATACTCCATACACACATACATATGAGCCTGTGACAAAAGGTTGTGGCAAAAGATAACTAAAAGGACCAAAACTAGACATGATTTTTCAGGTGTCACAGCTATCCATAAGCAATAAATGAAACAATTATGGACAGATATAATAAGAAAATTACAATTTTTGGAAGCTAATTATTGTGTTGGTTGTTATATAACCATTTTCATAAAGACTACATTTGTCTACTAGTACAAAGCACAAATAAACTATTGATTAAGATGATATAACTGCTATCAGCTGAACTCTGCTGTTAATACAGGAGACACACAACCACCTGTTGCTGGTAGCAGCTGGAGATGAATAATGTAACCATAGATGATTTACCTGAATACATGTAGTAATAATATGTCCACTGACAAGATGTGGCCTTTGTATGTGACTCTGTATTTGGAAAATTATCAGTGCTTTCACGTACTATTGGAATGTTCTTATTACACAGTTACCTCCACACCCACACACATACACACGCACACACACACACATGCATACGCACATGCCCACATTCATGCCCATGCACATAAACATGCCCACACACACACACACACACACACACACACATACACACACACGTACTAGTACACACACACACACACACACACACACAGGCACCCCACACAGTGACTACATACTGGACTGTGTTTCTTCAGCTTCAGCCTCTTGTTACTCTCCATTGACTTCAAGTGTTCTTTGTAACTATTGCGATAGAAAGGATTATAGCCGCCATATCGACACTGGGCGCCATAATTATGCCGAGTGGGTCTGGGGTGGTGCTCCGCTCTGGTTGGTGACGATGATGTTTCTGACTGTGACGACTGAGACGATGGCGCCAGTGACTGAGATGATGGTGCCAGTGACTGAGATGATGGCGCCAGCGACTGAGATGATGGCAAGGGTGATGATGGTGGCGAGGGATCTTCTGGTTTAGAGGCCATCTTCATCCCAGTAAAAAAATCTTTTAAAAGTTAAAGTACTGGTCAGTCTCTGCTGACCTTAAGCAATGTGTTGCTGTGTTCTCAGGCTGTGTTCTCAGGCTGGTGAGTCTGTAACATACACATTAGCAGCTCAACACACGGTGACAGAATGAGATAATTATAACTTTAAACTAACAGCTTCCTGCTGTAGTTGTGAAGAACTGTCAGAACTGTCCACAAAGTATCAATATCTACAGTGCCTCCTCTGCACACTGGTGACGTTGTCAGAAACAGGACAATTACTGACTGTGTGCACAGTTTCCTTACAACTTACAAAGTGCCTTCTGCCATGACACCATGTCCCTCTCCTCTCAGTCTTCACAGTTCCTTACCTTCCACCACAGAAATAAGTGTACACACGTCCACCACAGTCTAAAACTCCATTGATCCAATTGTTGAGATATTACTCCATTCAACTTTTTCATGTCATTCATCAATTCAGTGGCTCTGTAACCAAGACTTAGCACAGCACTGCTGTAACCTGTGTACTAGTACTCACACTTAGTTTATCTCTGACTCTGTGAGTTGACCAAGTAATAAACAATACCCAATATTGCCAGCAATGAAGTCAATGCCTTTACTTCACTTCAGTGTAATAGTTGTATAATGATGAGTAATATGCTGCAGTTTGGGGTTAGTGTGCCAGAGACGACAGTACTAGTATAGAAATATGTTATAGAAGTTCTCAGAGCTCAGTCCACAAATTACACGTTCCCACTCTTGATAATTTTCACAAATAAGTGTATGAAGATGATGTCTTCTTTCTGATTCAGTTGTTTAATGTTTCAGTGAAATGTGATAAGTCACACATACAACACTTAACTGTAGTACATCATCAAAGCAGCAGAAGTGGCGTATGAGTATACTGTTGCACGCACATTCAAAACATAATCGCTCACTCTGATGCACGAAGACTGACGAGAGGCATTTCTAGCCTGGAATAAATGCACCCATTTTCTTCTGTAGAAAAGAAGCAAGAGAGGCATCGCTGTCTTTTTAGTAAAGAGTATTTCAGTGCAACAAGTTTTAATAAAGAATATCTTAGAAGTGGCAAATATATAAGTTATCTATAAAAAAAACTTTTCACATCAGGTTTTTACAGCATCAACAACTACTTTAAATGTTCCTCACATTTTCCTATTTAATTAGCAGGATTCCTTTAAAAGCATTCTCAACAGAATCATTATCCAATGAAGTAAATCTCACTTTCAGTTCAGTCTGTGATCAGTTTTTAGAAGTAAAACTCTCATCCTATCTCCTGGACCTCCAACACAAACCTGTGATGTACCACTGACAAAATAACAAGGTCAATGTCAATTACTGCCAACTTGGCTCTTTAAAATTCTAGGACCTTCCAGTAGGCCAAATTATACAGCTCCCATCCAAGTGCATGAAATCATCCCATCTCTGGTGGGCATGAGGCTGAGGGTGGGGTTGGGGATGGGGGTGGGGGTGGGGGTATCAGGGTGGGGGTGGGAGGGGTATCCAACAGGTCCTGTGGTTTATCTGCTTCACTATTGAAAATCAAAATTCAGCTCCCAGTATTTCATGTCTTGGTTCTGTCATTTGCACTGCCATCTAGAGGTGGCCATGGACACTACTCTGCACAAGTTGTGACAAGATCCAAAGTAAAAACATGGCTTCTTACTTTCCTTCTCAGTCACTGATCTGAAAACGCCTCTCAGAAAACTTATGTCAGAACCAAGTGCCCAGAATGAATCCTGGAAGGTGATCAACATGTGATCTACTCAACTGACACTTCCTAGAAATTCAACGAAACTGTTTTCAGGGCAACTATAGTTTGACGATATGTCATACTGAGAGCAGTTAAGAAGTCGTTATTTCTGAGAAACAAGTACCCAAGTGGAAATGAAACAGTTAAGTGAGCAAATGTTGTGCTGATAACATACAAGAAACTGTAAGTTGATTCCACACACTATGTAAACTGTATCATTTCTCCACGTCACGGCAGTCTCCTCAGATGACGCATTCCAGAGCCAGTGAAGTTTCTTTTAGTACTAGCATTTAGTACAGCAAATGTATTTCATGGCATCTGTTTGTATGTAAACTCAATAGTTATTCAATTTCAAGCAGCAATCCATAATCTTACTGCCAACATGGGCAAAATATTGAATTTTTCTTTCCAGAAAAGGTGTCCAAGTGCATGAACAGTCCTCCATGAACGACTGTCACAAGAGCGGGGTGGCTCCCCCTGGATAAAGCAGGTGGCTCCCCCTAACTTTGTAGATAACGTTACGCCAGTGCCTTACTCTGGTAAACTTCACTGACAACAGGTGTTACGTGAGAAAACAGCACTGGTGTATCATCAAAAGTAACTTCTTAGTCTTGTTCATAAACTTGTTAGTTCAGTCAGCTCTGTATTGTAACTGTACTTTCAATTTTCTCTATCAAACTTCATACACAGTATGTCAGTATCCTACATATCAATTCTTCAATGCAGAAACCTTGTATTATGATTCAATCATCACCAGTTTACAATCTAAAAGTGGCTGTAGCTGTAGAATTCTCACACCAAATATAACAGGACCACATTTCTACAGTATCCCAGTGGAATGGCCGGGTTAGGTACCTTGCACCATTCATCTTGTTATATCACCGTCATCTCTGTACTGTCAGTTACATCTTCACAGATTGGTCAGTCAATTGACCATCTAATTACCTCCAGGAAATAAATGACCACTAAACCATGTCCAGATATTACCAGGAGTTGACAGGCCTGTCTCTGCCAGGAATCTCCAGGAATCGCCAGGAAAACAGACTACTACACATCTTCAGTCTACTCTAGAATTATTGACTTGGACGCGCAGCTTCTGTTTTATGT